AGAGTTAATTCTTTTCCAGGGCTGCCATGTCCCACCAATCCTCCAACAATCTTCTAATTTCTCTCTTTCTCATATAAACCATCTAGAGCTAGAGTTTCTTCCAAGTTAGTAGGAAGATAGACAAGGATAGAAAGACAGACAGGCAGAGAGAGAGAGAGCGAGAGAGGGAAAGGGCCAGACACCCTTTTAAAAAATTAAATCAAGAGTTAATTCTTTTCCAGGGCTGCCATGTCCCACCAATCCTCCAACAATCTTCTAATTTCTCTTTCTCATACAAACCATCTAGAGCTAGAGTTTCTTCCAAGTTAGTAGGAAGATAGACAAGGATAGAACGACAGACAGGCAGAGAGAGAGAGGGAGAGAGGGAAAGGGCCAGACACCCTTTAAAAAGAATTAAATCAAGAGTTAATTCTTTTCCAGGGCTGCCACGTCCCACCAATCCTCCAACTATCTTCTAATTTCTCTCTTTCTCATACAAACCATCTAGAGCTAGAGTTTCTTCCAAGTTAGTAGGAAGATAGACAAGGATAGAAAGACAGACAGGCAGAGAGAGAGAGAGGGAGAGAGGGAAAAGAATTTAATCAGAAGTTAATTCTTGGTTTGGGCTGCTGGCACAGCTGGCAGAATCAACTCCCAAGTTGATCCTTTGAGGCTGGCTCATTGAATGGGGGCTGTTGCTGAAGAATTAACTTTCGAGTTAATCTTATTCAACTCTTGTATTCAGTCTCTTCCCGATGGCCTCCAACCTAATGGCGATGGCCTCTACCTAAGGGCTGGACCTGGTGCGACAAAGCAACTTTGCACAGGTGCAGTTCGTGGAGATTTCTGCGCACATGACAATTCTGCGAATCGCTCAGAGTAGCAGACCATTGCCAAAACCATCTCAGTGACCCTGCCCAGTGCGCATTTGCACAACGCTGGAGGCAGAACATGCTGCGCAGCTACGCTGCTGGACAGCACGGCACTCACCGTTTTCGCATGCTCTTGAAGCAAGTTTGGTGCAAGTTAGGCATCTTCTGCTAGTTGGCAACCAGGGAGCCAAAAGCTAAGATTTACTTGCTTGTGAAATTCTCCCGTTTGACTGTTTGACCGTGGCTGTAAACGGTTTAGCTCACTTCAGGTGGGCAAAAACAAGCTTGCAGATCACTTGCTATGTTTGTTGCGCTGCGAACGCGAGTATGCCAAGGGCTTAGCAGTCCCAAAAACAATGTCAATCTAATTCAATCTGTATATATATAATATATGTTTAATATGTCCATTCGCTGGCCCACATATTCAGGTTCAGCTTCATCGTGACACGACTGTCCAAAGCCTGACTGTAACCCCTACACTTGAGGCGAAAGACTGATGTGATGAATGAAGTGCGTTCTGACGATCCGAATTGTCGAAAGCAATGAGTGACAATGCCTTGCAGATCCTTGCAGTGTTCCCAGTTTGGAGGCTGGCATTGTTCATTGGAAAGATTCAGGGCTCCTCCGCGCAGCGAAAGCAGGGAGATGCCTTGTGGCGAATCTCTCAGAGACTTGACATGTGTTCGCGTCGCACGTTAGCTTGGAATTTGCCGTTCCTAGCCAATATTAGGTGGACGAGACGGACAAAGCTCCTTTGGAGGCCTGGCTTCACCATGCTTGAGAGAAACTCATGGAATGCAAGTGCAGGTTGTGTGCATCCTCAAGGCAGACCGGCACTGTCTGTTCTGGCAAAGACATGAAAGGACGTCTTTTCTTCCTTCGCTTCCGGACGCAAAAAGGCTCCAGCTTCCTTGAAGAACCCAGGCTTTGGGATTGAGCATTAAGCTACAGCGTCTCGTCCAGGCTTTGGCAGAAGACGGTGAGCTCGGAACTCAACTGTAACTAGTGTCTAGGTGACTGAAGCAGTGTCTCAAGAGTCTCAAGCTGACTGGATCATTGGGCAAGATTTGCTGCCCCGCAGAGGCTAAGACTTAGCTAAGAATCACGGTTGGCTTTGGCTAGTGCAACAAGTTTTTGGCACTGGCTCATTTCGTAGAGGCATTCCAGTCTCGCGTTTCAAGTTTTGCAGCAAATGTCATGAACAGTGATCATAAGCTTTGGACTGGTTTCTTCTCACTTCCATTTCTGAGCCATGGACGACGTCTTCTTTGATTCTGGCGATGAACAAAATGAACACTTGTACAATACAGATCATGAGTCTGATGGTGAACTGGATTCTTTCAATGGGTTGCTTCGAGTTCCAGGTCAAAAAGTTCGTCCGCTGTCACAGCGTGTGGAAAAGTTGGTGTTGGATTTTCGAGAGAAGCAAGAGATCTTCAAGCGCCGGCGCCAAGACCTCGCACAAAGTGTTTCACGTGGAATTCGAAAAGAATTCCTGCAGCAGCAAGAACGTATTGTCTTACGCAGCAAACAAATGGCGAAGAAGTTACAAAGCGGACGCTCCCGAGCCTGGCGGCACAAGTGGGTGTTTGCATTGGTGGAAGCAGACTTTGTTGTTACTGCATTTTGGTTGGGCGCATCTCCGCAGACTTTCCATCTCTACTATACAGCACAGATGGCTGTGGTGATGTGTGGCAAGGTCTTTGACTACAGGTTCACTGATCAGCACTACTTTCTCTTGGACTTTTGTTTCTTTGCAAATGCGTGTACATTGGTGTGGTTGTGGATCTGTCCTACCTCTGGCTACTTGTTCAATGCAGTGGAATCCTTCTGCGGGGTGTTGGCGTTATCCGTTCCACTCTTCCGAAATTCCTGTGTGCCCCATGACTTTGCGCGTATCTCAAATGCCTATGTTCACTATCCACAGGTTCTTTTGGTTCTAAGCATGATTTGGAGTTCTGATGGAGAAAAGCGCCAAGGTATTGAAGCTGGTATGGCAGAATCCTGGTCTGCCAGGCTATTTCAAGCATGGTCTGTGTACATGTCGTGGGCTGTCCTTTACGCTTCAGTGATCTTCGTTCTAGCAAAGAAGCGAATCGAGCGAAAGCGGAGGGACACATTGTACGGTTACTTTGCTCATACACTCGGCTTCAAGGACAAGTTGCCAACCTGGTTAAGAGATTATTCTGGAATCGTTTTTATGCTGGGTCACCAGACGCTCTTTATGTCCGGAATCGGATACATTTTCTTGCCCTTCTCGGTTCAGGTCGTTGCCATTCTTTTGGCCATCACCATTTTTTTTCACAATGGAGGACGATTCTACGTAGATCACTTCTGGAAAGCGCATGAGCGCAATACGGTTCTTTACTTGGATGCAGCCACTAGTATGATGACCAAAGCATCCAAAGAAGGCAGTCACAGCAGCCTGGAGAGCAAATGCACAGATGACTCCCCAGGATGAGGTCGCTAATGGTTGAAGGCAAGAGTCCTTGCGCAATCTTGCGCAAGCGCAAACCATGCTCTACTACAAGCTTCGACAACTTGTTTCACAGTGTAGATCGATTATGCCAAAGGCTTGTTGGTTTCACAGATTCACAGATGCTTTGGTTGCTTGAACCGAAGCCGAGCGGCCTATAAATGGTTTGGTTTTTGCTGGTAAAATGAAAGACATGATACATGCAATGAAATGCCACCAACCTTGGTTGGCACCACAGCATTGGGCGATGAAGCAGGGTGGCACTAAGCAGCAGTATCTGTACCGTATATACAGTATCTCTCTCTCTCTCTCTTTCTATCTTTCTCTCTTTCATTGTTTGATCATCTCATTTGGACTCGGCTTGATGCACTCGCCCTTCACACCCAGCTCTTCTGACGTCATTAAACCTCGTTATAGTGTGTCACAGTTTCAAGATAGTTTAAGCACCTTCCAGCTTCCGTGTCATTTTCCCACATCACCTTCTCACAGAAACTCTCCCATGCTCGCATCCTGTTTTTCCTTATGTTATCCCACATTGTGTCATGACATTCATTCTCATCTTGAAACTTGAAATGTTATGTCATCGCATGTTGTTTCGTCGCAGCTGGTCTCACCTGACCTTATCAATGTCAGCTCACGTCCACACACCATGCAATCCAACCTTTTGGCTTCAATCATCGTCAACCGGATTTCCCACATGCTCTATCGAACCGAAAGCTGCTCCGCACTGATGCAGCACAAAGGGTTCCGATGTGAAAGCCGTAGAGCAGTGAGCAGACAATCAAAGACACCACATGCAAGTCCCATTATTTTGCGCGGCAAACAAGTGGTTAGAAAGCTCAAGAAAGACTGACACTCTTTCAAACCGGCATGTGGAGTCGGCTGCACAGCATGGCACAAAGATTTGGGCTCGATGGGCGACGGTGTGAAAGTGTCGTTGCATTTGTCATGCAACCTCCAGTGCTGGTGGTGGGTGCCATTTTTGTGTTTGATCGATTCCAACGATTCTAACTCATGTCATTCTTGATTTGCAACCTGCTTGCTGTTCCCATGCTCTTATATAAGTGTCACTTCAGGCTGTCCCTTCCAGACGGTCGGACCCTACTCCGATGGGCCCCCAGCAAGGCCAAGAGGGAAAGGCCTTGGGATTGGTTAATTTTTGCTCAAGGTCACAATGATCTGAGACTTAACCAGAAATCAGCCACAGAGTACTGTGCTCAGAAGGTCTAACCCAATGCAATATGCGTGACCAATCATTCTGAACGAGGTTTGTTCCCATAGCCGAAGGCTTCCGGATGATTGTGCTAGCGAACAGGCGTTTCACCACCTATGTTCATTATGTTCATGCATGAGAATAAGCGCAAGATCACCACCAGTTGACAGGCCAGGTCATCCTTTTCTCGGGAATGATTTTTACCGAGTATGCGGAGATGTTCTCGGTTTTGGCCTTACTGCCTTGGTAAAGCTTGGCAAAACGAGTGCACCTTGGAAGAATCATTGTTATGCAGAGAAGATCATGCAAAGTCCGGAAAAGAAATCACGTGTCAAGACTGATTGCCCTTGCCTAATTTTGTTCCGTTGCCTGAGACTACCATGCCGTCGAGTACCTTGACGTTACTAGCGAGCTCCAGCTCTTGCGAAGCATTGCTCCATCAATATCAGAGGCGTTTGACCGCTATTTCTTGATTGTACAAATAGGTACAAATCAATGTCCATATCAATGCGTGGAATCGTGACTGTTTGGAGTGCACATTGCAGCGTTCCCAGGCGACGTTAGAAACCTTGTCCAAACTGTTTCGGGAACTCCGACGGTTAACTGACGGAGGTGAGATCACGTACCCGTGCGCCAGACTGGCTAAACGTGGCAAGCACATCCTATCAAACTGAAGACACTGGGGATTCGATCACACTGTTGCCCAATAGAACTCGACACAAATGTGACATTGCAACGTGTGATTCATTTTTGAAAACCACTCAGTTTCGTGCGTGTCAGTAGAAACATGATCCGCCCTAGAAATCCGCCCGCACCAAAGGTGCTGGAGTGTGGTAACCTCATGCCGCGACCTCCGGGTCCGTAGCAACGTACTAGCTGGATTTTTCAGCTTTGCAATTTGCAAGGTTCAGTTTTGAGATATTTCACTTGTTCACTTGTTCAATACGAAGAAAATTGACGTTGGACATTTTGGAGCCACATCTTCGGAACCTGGGCGTTGGACATTTTGGAGCCACATCTTCGGAACCTGGGCTGCCTGGGCTCATTGTGAGGTCAACTTGACCCAAGTTCACCCCAACTTTGGCCAAGTTGATGGACCCAACAAAAGGAACATAGGAACATTGTCCAGAGTGGCTCAACTGTGCGCCAGCTTGATTTGTGGAGACCGCTGGGTGCAAAAAATGCGCAAAAGTTGAGCCGAATTTCAAGTCAAGCTTGGCCAGTTCCCCGTCTTGCTGAGTCTATGCCATCACCTCGAGCCCAAGTTGAGCCTAAACAGACCCAAGTTGCATCATGTCGGCCCAACCTCAGCCCAAGTGAGTGCTCACTGGGCAAAGTCCAACCGAAGTTGAAGTCAAGCTGGGGCAAAGTAACCCAAAGCTGCAGCTTTCTTACGGACATGTAACCCGCAAAGGTCCAGGGTCAACATGGGGCACTTGCAGCTCGTTCTGGTCCAACCTGGTTTCACAACTGGTTTCGGAGTGGTTCCCGACTCGTGTCCGAGTGGTGCTGGATTGGTGCCGGGCTGGTGCCCCAAATGCCGGGCGTTCACTCCAAATAAAACCAAGCATAGTCAAAAGTGGGCACCAGATCCGCACAAACTAATTCGGTCTCCAGCCACGTCTGCAACTTTTGCCAAAGATTGACACCAGGTTTGCACCAGCAATTGAAAAATCCAGCACCAGCTTTTGCACCAACATTCCTGTCTTTTTTTGAGTCTCGGCGCAATCCAAGCACCAGGTCGAAGACCAAAAATGGCAAAGGTGAGCACGTTTGCACCATCGCGCACGGAATCTGACACCACGTGTTGCACCGGGACTCGTTTGCGTCTTAAGTTTTAAGCGGAGTACGGCATAGACAACATAGACCCAACAAAGGGGACATGGACAGAAACAAGCATTTGCGGCCCGTGAAACGATTGGCCCCAATGCCCTCGCGTCAACAGGCTCAAGTTCCTGACTGCTGTACACAACCGATGCTGCGGCTGCTTTGATTTGCTGCAGCTACCTTAACGAAAGAATGTTACGGCAAGATGCTGGAAAGAGTCCCAACTCTGTGCATCAGCGGCTGCGTGAGCTCGCCTTCTCCCTAACCTGCTGCGGCGGGTGCGGTGTTCGTCGCGAAGGGACATGAGCAGCGAGGAGACATGAGGAGACCATGTTTGTCCTCACCACCCCAACCCTGACTGCGGAACTGAAAGTCTACATACTTCTGTAGCGTATGAATCCAAGAGGAACATATGGTGGACAAATACGTAGCAGCATGGTGGTTGTGTGGATAGTGAATGTTGGTAACAGTGCAGCTTGTACACTTCTCGAAAGACAGGGCCACAAAGGTGTTGCCTTCGCTGACTTCCAGGTACTCCACACGTGAGTTGGTAAAAATGGTGGCTCATGCTCAAAGCTTCCAAGGCACTTGCTTAGTGAAGAGATTGTATGTTTGTCACCGTAGCGTCGGTAGCGTTCTCGTTTCAACGAATTGAACCTGACCAGATCATTCTGAGTATGTCATACTGCTAGGTGATACTTTGGAGTCGTTGGCAGCTGATGTGTTCAGCTTCGATGCCTTCGACGATCGCCAACGGCTGTTGCAGGCGACCAATTGCGACTGAGTGTCAGTGTAAGTTAGAGAAATGAAATGTTGTATGAATGTTGTTTGTATATATTTAGATATAGAGAAGAACTAATGTATAGGTCTTAGATGGTTTTAGACTCTTAAACAAAAGATGCAAATATGCTCGGCCTAATGCAACGTATGGGGAAATGAGTTTGGCGCCGATTGGCATTCCTGCATTATGGTGATTTTCACTGAAAAGCACCGTCACGGTCTCGATGATCTCAGCAACGCTGATTCGTTGGATGACATCACAGAAATGAAGAGATGAAGAGACCTGATGTCTCTTTTTGGAGGACATCAAGTCTTAAGAAGTGCCACAGAAGCGGTTCTTTAAGGAAGCTCCCTCGGCCCTTCCTTGAAGCATCCTGACCTTCGCAGGTGTTGCGGCAGTGTGAGATCGCAAAAGGCAAGCTCGGCGAGGCGCAATCAAGATGTTGGTTGCCTGTGTTGCCAATGCACCCTGCACCTTCTGCACTTGCTCCGCACTTGCCATAGCCATTGGTGCAGCGTGTCGTAGCATGTTAAGTGTTTGCCTTGTCTCTTGCAGAGGCTGAGCTATTTGGTGAAAGCCGCGGCACTCGGAGCCTAAAGCTTTGCAGGAAAAACTGTGGGCTTCACTGATTGATTCAATTTCCTAATGGTCTCAAGAAATGTCCACCGCCCTTCGGGGGCTTGGTCGGAATGGGGAGTGTTTGCGTACGTTTCGTTGTGCCTTGGAGGGGCATAACTGCAGGTTTTGTCATTCATAGGAGAAAGCAGCAGAAGGCATGCAGCCAACACAAAGTTATGTAGGTCATCCAAGAATCTAGCAGAAGAAGGCCTGCACGTCAGCTAGTTCACCTTTGCACGTTTCAAGCTGTAGTCAATTCTGTGTGTGTGTGCCCCTTGGAATCACAGGGAACCTTTCGGTTTGGAGCAGGGGAGCGGTGGGCATTCTTGAAGTCACCGCTCAACGAAGACACTTCAAGTTTGCTGTGATATGCAATCTGGACGCAGATTGCACGTACCTGCGAGAAGATGATCACCACTCATTTCCCTTTGGGCCCCTTTGTAGCTAGAACAAGAATTCTGGCCATCGCACCTGTTTGCATTGGCCGTCACGCATTTTGAGCTTGGAGGTGAGGGCAGTCATTTGGTGCTTCGTTTACCTGAACCCTTAGGTTTTTCACTTAGGCTGGCGTGTGCCACCGCATTCACATCAGTACACATAATCATAAGTGTGTCTCTCCTAGTGAGAGCCCAGGGTGACCTGGCCCCTGTGGACCCGTCGAACGGGTGTTTGTCGAACGTATCCCCTGCCCGGATACAAAGCAGCTCGCAGCGAGCGTAGGTGGCCTAGGCCGAGAGACCTCAGATTTTGTCGATTTTCTGAACTCCGAGCTGGCTCATGCCTTTACGTGACCGTAGCGGTCAAAGCTGCCAGCCATTTTGGCACGGCGTACGTGGCCGCAGCGGCCGAAGCTTGTTCAAGACTCGTTGGAGTCTGTCGGGACCTTTGTCCCCTTCCTCCCCCTACCCTCCCCTTCTTCTCTCTTTGCCTTTTTGGGGTATTCCTGAATGTAACACTCAGGTGTACCCCTCGCCTTGGTGTGTCCCTGGGCGCTTGCGCGTAGCTGGGAACACCTGTTTTCGTCCTTTCTTTTTCCTTTTCTCCTTTCCCTCTCTCTCTCTCTCTCGCTCTCTCTCTCTCTCCCTCTCTCTCTCTCTTTCTCTCTTTCTCTCTTTTTCTTTTTTCTTTCTCCCTCTTCCTTCTTTTTGGGTGTCCCTGGATGCGTTCGTCATAGCTGGGAACCCTTCTCTTCTTCTCTTGGTGTGTCCTTGGACGCTTGTGTCGTAGATGGGAACACCTTCTTTTCCTTTCCTTTCTTCTTTTTCTTTCTTCTCTTCTCTCCCTGCCCCTCCCTCCTGTCGGGGCCTTAGAGTGGGAAGCTACTAGGAGCTGCTGGCCTTACTACTAGGTGCAAGGACGCTACTAGGGATGAGATTCACCGTTTCTCGAAGAGAACCCCTCTTTTCCGGGAGGCGTGTGCGTGTGTCTGTGCCCCTTGGAATCACAGGGAACCTTTCGGTTTGGAGCAGGGGAGCGGTGGGCATTCTTGAAGTCACCGCTCAACGAAGACACTTCAAGTTTGCTGTGATATGCAATCTGGACGCAGATTGCACGTACCTGCGAGAAGATGATCACCACTCATTTCCCTTTGGGCCCCTTTGTAGCTAGAACAAGAATTCTGGCCATCGCACCTGTTTGCATTGGCCGTCACGCATTTTGAGCTTGGAGGTGAGGGCAGTCATTTGGTGCTTCGTTTACCTGAACCCTTAGGTTTTTCACTTAGGCTGGCGTGTGCCACCGCATTCACATCAGTACGCATAATCATAAGTGTGTGTAGTCAGCTTTCGTTTGTGAGAAAGACGCTTCACAAACCTTCCTCCCTGAACGTCACTGCTGTTTTTCCTCACGCGGCTTTGAGCGTGTTCAAGCACAAGGGTTTGGAACGGTACTTGTACCTCATGAAGTTAGTTCCGCGATCAAATCCTGATCGTTACAATGAATTGCTTTTTGACACGCTTTTGGCCAAAGTCGTAGAATGGCCACACAAAGCTCAGGACGTCCCTCCGTAGGGTGACCCAACCATCCGTGATTATGTCACCATATCTTATTATCATGTGTGTTTTTATCTTTCTCTTGCTCCTTTGCAAAGCCTTTGCATGTCAAATCCTGTCATTCTGCTAGGTCTGCAACTAGGGTTTGGTGGTGCTCAGGAAATCAATCGCTAGCTAGAAGCTACAATGGACCAATGGAGACAAGTCGCGCCAAATTTTGGGTAGAGATGGGCTATGTGACACGCAATCCCATCGATGATATCAAGTACCTTTGTCCACCCGCCTTCTGTCTTTGTTCAGGCAATAGCATTTGCAGAGGTTGAGGTTGCTCTTTGCTTAGTTGTTTTATCCTCGATGTTCAGCTCTCTGGAAACTCGTTCAGGTTACCCCTCGACTTTGTACCTCATTCAGACCTTCTCGACTATTGCACTGAAGATGTATTTGGCTATCTCACACAACATCTTTTCTGTCGTTTGCTCTTTGATTACTTTACCATTGTCAATTTCATGCTTTTTGGCCAGCTGGCCAGCAAGAATTTTTTAAGAATGATCTTGAAGTTCCTTTTGCTTGCGCTGCTGATTTCATGTTGAAACTACGTGTCGTTTGTTGCAGTTTGGGCACAGTAAGGGTTGCTGGTGTGTGTGTGCGCCCCTTGTAGTCACAGGGATCCTGTCGGATTGTACCATTTTCTTGTTTTTCAGCAGGGGGGTGCAGAGCACAGTGGAGACTGCGCCCAACGAAGCTATCCACTTGTGCTGGAAGCAGAGCCTGATCAGCTCTGTGTACCTGCTTGAATTTTAAGATTTTGATAAAGAGCTAATGCATTGGCAGACACGAGCGGCCCGCCGTCATCCTGTTCGACCCGTGATCCTCGTTTGATTTCTTCCGCTTTGGGCCACTTCTCCGTTTCAGGACCCCGAGTTTCCAGTGGTTTCCTACTTGTACTCTTAGGAAATGGTACCCTGGGCTGGCGTGTGGCACCGCTGTCAAGTCAGTACGCATATCCATAAGTGTGTCTCTCCTAGTGAGAGTCCGGGATGAGCCCGTAGAGTGCCTCCCGTGGACCCGTTGAACGGGTGTTTGTCGTTATCTCCCCTGCCCGGAGATGTAAGTGCCCAGAGCGGGCGAAGGTGGCCTATAGGCCTCATTTTTGGAATTCCAAGTTGGCTTATGCCTTTAAGTGACCGCAGCGGTCAGAGGTGGCCGCCCTCGGGCATGCCGTACGTGGTCGCAGCGACCGAAGTTTGTTCAAGGTTCATTGGAATCTGTTGGGGCCTTATAGTATTCCAGGCGATCCGCACATTCCCTCCTGCCATGTTTCCTTCTCCTGCCGGTCTTGCCCCAGTGGAAGGCATACCGATGAGGGGTCAAGCCATTCTACATCGTGAGATTTTTCACGTACACGCCTTATTGGACCTCACTACTTCCCTTCTTCGTACTCGACTTGCCATCCTTTCTCCTCTCTTTTTAGTCGGTGTTACATCGCCCCACCTTCAGGTACAAATTCGAGGACTTGATTCTGCCATTCAACAAGCGACTCAAGCCATACATATACTGCACCCAAGAGCTGCTGACCACCTTTGGCTTGATCCACGCTCTGAATTTTGACACTGCCCGATTAGCGGCTGAGCTACGTGGTACTATCACCTTCCGTGACCCTCGTCTTCCTTCGATTCGTCCCCCAGCTTCAGGATCTCATTCGGCGAGGGGCTCGACTACTACCACCATCACCCCGGATCATGATGACACACTGACGACGAGGACGCCCTCTACTACACGACCTTCACGCGGTTTCGTCGTTGCCACTTCGACTCGACCTCTCTGAGATCAGAGCCACTATGACCCCCCCCTCACGCTCCCGTCCTCGCTTGAACCCGCGGGATACCTAGTTCCACCCCCTACTTCGATTGGACCGCCTTTTAGAACTCTTTTTCACTTTATTGATTCAAGTTATTGATGCTATTGAAGTTGATCTCACCCTCATTCTGTTCTCCCCTTGGCTCTAGCTCGCTCATCACGGTTTATTCTCTATATAGGCTTTCCTCCTCCCTCGCTCGCCGTCCATTCGCAGTCGCCGCCATGTCTTCTTCGACTTCGACACCTATGAATCCACCAACCCATACATCACCTTCTCCTCCGGCAGGACTCGCACCCATTGAAGGATTACCTATTGCAGCTCAAGCCGTACTACATCGTGAACTTTGTCACATACACTCGTCCTTACAGCTGATTCTCACTATTCTACGAGGACCCTGGGACACTTTAGCCCTCCCCTCGCGGACACCATCACCTGTCCTCTTCTTCTTGCTCACCTTCGGGGACTGGACGCCAGCATCGACGATCAGACCAAACGAGCCACCTGCACCACTCTCGCCTACACGGAACAACTTCTCA